TGGGGTCAGCACATTTCTGGAAAGACAGCAAATGAGTGAACATGTTATCATTGGGTCACCCTGCCTTGGCTGGAGACAACTGTTAAGTTAAAATGAAAAAGTCCCCCCCCTCCTTTTACTCTCACCAGTATATGACCTCTCCTATACTTGATCTCACATTTTCCTGACCTCGTAGATGACCCGTCTTTCTCAAGAGCCTGACCTCATGGTGCTTGTTTGCCTTATAAGGCAGTGTATTTCTTCATTTCTTTATTCTTAATGATGTCCATCCTTGAACATTACAAGATTTATTTTTCTTTACAGATGGAATAAACCGACTGGCAAAGCAGCTAAACATAACGCAGCACCCTGACCACCTCATAACTCTGAAGGCTCTAAGTAAACTTGTTAGCACAAGACTGTCAGCAGAAGCCATACAGAACCCTGGTGAAGTAATCCATCAAGTATGTTATCTGACTGATTTTTAACAATGTTGTATAACAAGAATTATTAATTTATTTCTAACTTGCCTTGCCAAATTTCAAAAATATTACCAAAAATGAGTGCGTGCAAGAGAAAATGCCAAATGTGGGTGAGTATTTTTGAAATCTAGGTGATAATAGAATAAGATTAATCAAGTTTTTGAGACATACATTTATATGGATTCTGGTTTTTATGTAAGCAGCTTCCACAGCTGACTAAGCATTCTGAAATTTGTAAGTGCTTCAGTAAAACCTTTTAAAATTGAGCATGGAAACTTGTTACATTTGTTTTTACTAAGGCTAAGTATTTTTTTTCATTGCATGGTGTCTTGGATTTTTTTTAACTTGCATTAAAAAAAAAAAGGTGAAATTATGCAAATGGTCATTATTATTATTAGATGTAGGGCTACATTTAAAGATGCCATATTTTTGATGAACAGTGTCATTTTTTAAAATATTATATAAAAAAGAAGCGCAAAGGGCCACAAGGGCTATACAGCGTCATTTTTTAAAGGATTTATTATGAAAATAAATGGTATAAAATACCGACACACTGGAAACATAAACACATAATGCAGTTAATGTGATCCTTTATTGACAACGTTTTCGCCCACACAGTGGGCTTTTTCAAGTCATGTATGACTTGAAAAAGTCATGTATGACTTGAAAAAGCCCACTGCGTGGGCGAAACGTTGTCAATAAAGGATCACATTAAACTGCATATGTGTTTATGTTTCCAGGATTTATTATCTATTCAAATGGGGCCTGCATGGATTTGTATTTTTGTTAATTCCTAGAATGCTGAAATTAACCAAGTCTGAAAATTACTAAGTTCACAAGAAGTGTGTTGACTGACTGAGCAGTTAACTTTTTTACATAGTTATTGCATTTAGTAATCCCAATTTCCTTTTACACTAATAATGTAATTAGGTTCTAATTAAGTGTAAAAAAAATTCAAGTACAGTACAACCATAGCCACACTTTGTTGTAAAATGCCATCTTTCTCATTAAATATTCAGTAAAATGTCATACACTGAACTATCAAGTTTATGGTAGTGACTCTTAAATCCAAGAATGAATTGACATGTACCATTCATATTATTCTGGTTTCTTCATCATAAACTCAGTGTTATGTATTTATTGGTAAACAAATCTTAACTCTTTACAGGGCAAATCTTACCCCATCTTTGAAGCCGACTTGGGCTTTGAAACTGGAGATTACGTCCTTAATAATGCTGGAAAAGCATTAAGGTTAATTTACATTCACGATCTTCGAGAACTTCAAACAAAAATAAATGAATGCATAGTTTCCGTACAGACCATAACTGCAAATCCGAAGACTGATACAAAGCTGGGTAAAGTGGGGCGTTAATGCTCACACTCCTAAACATTTGGCCAGACTATAACTGAATAACGTTACACTAATTGATATTCACTTCCCATGTCAGAAGAGAGTTTTTACTAAGATATATTCATAGATATAATGTAGAGAAATGGGGCACATCCCTATACAGTTTGACAAGTTGACCCGATACTACGTTGAACAAGACAGAGAAACCCTTGACATAGCAGTTATCTTAAAGGTAAAAAATATATTTGACCAGATGTGCTTGATGGCATTCCGTAGTTGTTACGTGCGCCTGTGTTGCTACATCTAATTTATGTTTACTATTGACATAATGGTTAGTGATATAACTCATGCCAAATATATGTAATAAACACCCTTCAGCTAATTTTGGGTTTAACATGACAACTTCCAGTGTTAGAACATTTAATAATGTTTTAACATTAGTAAATGCTCAAATTTTGTAAATTATAGTTGTTTAAAATTGGTGCGTGCACACCACCATTTTAACAATATAACCAAGCTTAAACTTTTTCCAATATATTCTGTATACTCCTGTGATAAAAGTAGATCCTGAAAATGTGATTCAAAATTGTTCAGTGAAGTATCTCTTATGTAGTCACCCTAATGTTATGAATAAAATGTCTGTGTCCTGCCTCATTGTTTATGCAGTAATTAATAAGGACTTGAAAAATAAAACATATCCAATATTGTTTCATTTAATTTATACATATATTTTCAACACTTGTATACAATAAGCTGTTTCATTTGCTCTTTCCAATTCATCTTGTTATGACTGATGTTTCCACTTACTCTTATCAAATGGTGGAAGTCTCAATAACCTTGTTATGCCCACTCCAGCAAGTGCTGAAATATAAGATTAGATTTGCTTATTCAAAACTTTTCAATACAGGTTCTCAAAGCAAGCCAATATTACATTGTAAACATCAATACCAATTTAGCCTGTTTACATGAAAAAAAAATTCTATCTCAAAGAGCTGATCTACATATTCAGTAAAACTTGGCTAGGAGACCCTTCAAGGGTAATTCCTTAGAGCTGGCAAGGGTCTGGATCTATGAAACTGGCATACCTGTCCTTAGATCGAACCTAAATGTACCCATTCACCCGGGAGCTGTATACGAGGTGATCAGTCTTTTAGCCTTTAAAAATATAAATTGAGGTGGTGATACATGTTCATCACCATAGCCTCTATCATTGGTCCATAGCCACAACCAATGATCAAGGCTATAGAGCTAAACACTAATCAAAGCTGAGGGACTGATCACCTCATTAACCTCTTCATTATGGCTGTCTCCATTATTAGTCACTTCTGTATATGACTGAAGAAGCCTGTTGAGCAGGCAAAACATTTTGACAATATACTCGACTGTTGCACAATTGTTTTAATCTACTTGTCGGTACTACATGTATATATATATATACATGTATATTTTTTGTTTTTTAACACTGGCTGGGTGAGGCAGGGTGACCTGAAAAAAAGAAACTAAATTTTTTTTTCAACAAACCAGCCATATCCCACCAAGGCAGGGTAACTAAATTTTCTTTTTAAATTTAGTAATTTATACAGAAGGGGTTACCAGCAATTTATACAGGAAAAGGGGATACTATCCCCTTGCTACTGGCATTTAAGTCGCCTCTTACGACACGCATGGCTTAAAGAGGGAAGATTCTTTTCCACTTTCCTGTGGAGGACTATATGTACATATACCATTATTATAAAAATATTCTTGGGTTAATTGTACAGTAGTACAAAAAAAAATTTCAAATAGAACTTGCACAAAAGCTATACCCTTCAAGGGAGGTTCCTTGATGCTGGCGGGGCTCTTGATCTAGTCAATTGGATCTGTGCTCCAGTTTCCTGAATTGAGCCTGAATACCTTCTATCCCCCTCCCCCACATGCACTGTATTAACCCTATGGGTTTTAGTGCTCCCCCATGATTATAATTATTATAATAAAAGCTATAGGATGCTTTAGTTCTCAGGAGCAAAAGCCATGAAAACATAATAGATGGAATTTGTAGCAGGTCGTGGTAGATTGTGCTGAGCAAACCTTTATTTACAGACTATGCTTTGTTGTATTTTACAGCAAAAGTTGTTACAGTGGAAATTAATCTATAAATAGAGGCTTACTTTACAGACAACATCTTCCTGCCATACTTGTATTATGTGAACTGAATAGCCAGTAGTAACAGCCTGGTTTATCAGGCCTTGATCCACCAAGGAGCCAGGTCTGGAATAGGGGGCATTGACCCCTAACAGCACTCTTCAGGTATCCTCCAGGAATCCTTCAGGCAAGTCTTGTCTCTCAAAAGATTTTTTGTGGCAGGTTGGATGAATTATTACATTAACAAGACAACTAATATGTTCTGTGTTATTTCCACTTTTACCATCAGCCGTGTAAATCTATTTCACAATCATAATAATAAATTCTGTATACCCTTAACTATTACTGAAGTAATTTTATAAATATCTTCATTCAGCTGGTTATTTATTCTCACTTTACACATTAATCATTGAAATCTTGTACATGTACAGTGGACCCCCGCATAGCGAACGCCTTGCATAGCGAACAATCCGCATAGCGAACGCTTTGTTCGCTAATATGTGGCCCCCATAGTGACAAAAACCGCTCAGCGAACTTCGTTCCGAGACGCGTCAATGTGGCCCTCAGCCACCGTCACATGGCCGCCCGTTTCCATTGTTTACCACTAGCCTCCGCGGTAAAAATTCAAGCAACACCAATATTTCGTATTATTACAGTGTTTTCGGTGCTGTTTTGGAAAATAAGTGACCAAAGGGCCTCCCAAAAAAGCTCTAGTGCCAACCTACACCCAAAGGTGTAAAGAATACCCATTGAATTTAAAAAAAGAAATCATTGATAAGTATGAAAGTGGAGTAGTATCACCAGACATGGTCAGTTGTACAAGAAACCCAAATCAACCATCGCTTCTATTTGGCAGAAAACGGCAACAAGGAAGCTGTTGTTGCCAAAGGTTTAACTGTTTTTCGAAACAAAATCGCAAGTGATGGAAGATGTTGAGAGACTGCTTATTTGGGGTGGATAAATGAAAAACAGCTAGCAGGAGATACGTCTCTCAAGCATCATATGTGAAAAGGCTAGGAAGTTGGCATAACGATTTAATTAAAAAAATGCCTGCAACAGGATATGTGAGTGAAATTTAAGGCCAGCAAAGGTTGTTTAGAGATTTAAGAAGCGTAGTGGCATCCAATAGTGTGATACGCTGGTGGGGCTGCCAGTTCGGACCACAAACGGCTGAAAAATATGTGCATGAATTCAAGGAGTACAAGAAACTGGAAGGACTGGAACCTGAAACAAGTGTTTAATTGTGATGAAACAGGCTGTTCTGGAAGAAAATGCCAAGCAGGACCTACATTACTCAGGAGGAAAAAGCCTCCCAGGACATCAAGCCTATGAAAGACAGCTTACTTGTTGATGTTTTGCCATGCTGTGTGTGATTGCAAAGTTAAGCCTTGATTAGTGTATCACTCTAACTCCCAGACGTTCAGGCAAAAAATGTCCTCAAGGATAATTTTGGTGTGCTGTGGAGGCAAACCAGTAAGGCATGGGTCACTAGGGAATTTTCTATAACTGGTTACACCATGCATTGCCCCCAATGTGAAAGATTACCTACTGAAAGAAATTAGACCTTAAGTGCCTCCGGGTGTTAGACAATGCCCCTGGTCATCCTACAGACGTGGCAGAGCGACTTTATGGGGACATGAGCTTCATTAAGGTGAAGTTTTTGCCTCCTAATCCCCACTCCTCTCCTGCAGCCCATGGACCAGCAGGTCATTTCCACTTCAAGAAACGGGTACACAAAGCTCTGTTTCAAAAGTGCTTTGAAGTGACCACAGACACTGGTTTGACTCAAAAGAGTTTTGGAAGGATACTTTAATATCCTCAGTTTGTGTAAACCCTTATAGGTAAGGCTTGGAGGGAGTGACTAAGAGAACCTTGAACTCTGCTTGGAAGAAACTGTGGCCAGAATGTGTAGACAAAAGGGGATTTTGAAGGTTTGGGGGTAACCCGAGGAGTAGTATACCAGTTGAGGAATCAATTGTGGAATTGGGGAAGTCCTTGGGTTGGGGGTTTGGGGGAGGATGTGGAAGAGTTGGTGGAGGAGGACAATGAAGAACTAACCACTGTGAGCTGATAGATCAACTTCAAGAGCAAGGGGCCAGACCGGGGAAACGGGTTCAAAGGAGGGGAGAGAGAAATTGAAGGAATTGCCTACTTCAAAGATTAAGGAAATGTGTGCAAAATGCTTGAAGTGCAAACCTTTTTTGATAAAAATCACCCTCACACAGCTATTCCCAAGCCTGCTGGTGACTGTTACAATGACACTGTTGTGAACCACTTTAGACAAATCATAAAGGAACGAGAGGTACAGGCCACTATGGACAGATATGTTGTGCGAAAGAAGTCCAGTGACTCTGAAGCTGGTCCTAGTGGCATTAAAAGAAGAAGGGAAGTAACCCCAGAAAAGGACTTGCTACCTCAAGTCCTAATGGAAGGGATTCCCCTTCTAAACACTAAAAACTCCTCTCCCCTCCTCCCATCCCATCAATCATCACCAGATCTTCAATAAAAGTAAGTGTCATGTATTGTGCATCCCTTTTTCAGTTTGTGTGTACTAAAATTAACATTTTTTTGTGGTAAAAAAAATTTTTTTTCATACTTTTGGGTGTCTTGCACGGATTAATTTTATTTCCATTATTTCTTATGGGGAAAATTAATTCGCATAGCGAACATTTCGCATAACGACCAGCCCTCTTGCACGGATTAAGTTCGCTATGCGGGGGTCCACTGTACTTGTAAATTTTTCCATGCATGCCAAAGATGCCATTTCCTATGCCACTTTGCCCATCTTTCATTCAATTGTATATTACCTGGAGAGTGTTCAGTGACCAGCACCCTCATGCCCTGGTCCCAGACCAAGTACCTGGCTACAAAACAAGTTACATTAACACACTGATGCTATTGTGTTACATGAGGTTTATAGTACCAAGTGCAAAATAATCACCTGCACCAAGTAAAAAGGTGAGCGATCTCCCAATGAGATTTGTATTCCTTGATCCATGATACGCCACATAGAGAGAAGCTCCAAGGCAACCACCGCCACCAACCAGCCGACAAGCCAAACAATCTTCGGACACCTGTGACACTTCCTTGTCTGTAAATTTTCTGCCAACCGTCATACCAACAGATGTAGATCTCAAAATATTTAGATCTGAAAAAAAGTTGAATTACAAAATTATCATACTGTATTATATAATTATAACAGTACAATATCATATATGTAAAATTTCACTATAATCAGTAATGTATTCGACAGCATAGGCCATCATTGCTTTTTTTTTTTAAACAAGTTGAGAAATGCAGCCTTTTGGTACATATATGATAAGAGAAGCTTTCCAAATATAATAATTCTTGAGAATTCTTATTTAAATTAACATTATGGAGATATGGGGCCTGTTTTACTGATGGGAACAAACAAAAAGAGGAGGAAGAAAGAACAAACAAAAATGAAGAAAAATAATGAAAATGGCATAATTGGAGAAGGAAGCTAAGAGATAACATTATATAAAAATTAATAAAGGATAAAGATAGATTCCTGGGGTTACCAGAAAAAAGGTAGAGTTTGCATCAAGTGTGCTGGTACACAATATTGGTTTCTCATTATGTTAGTGGGCCCGGTGGCCTGGTGGCTAAAGCTCCCGCTTCACACACGGAGGGCCTGGGTTCGATTCCCGGCGGGTGGAAACATTTGACACGTTTCCTTACACTGGGTGTTAGTCGACTGGTGTGGGTCGCATCCTGGGGGACAAGATTAAGGACCCCAATGGAAATAAGTTAGACAGTCCTCGATGACGCACTGACTTTCTTGGGTTATCCTGGGTGGCTAACCCTCCGGGGTTAAAAATCCGAACGAAATCTTATCTTATCTTATCTCTTCAGTCTTGAGATCCCTTGCACCTCTTTTTAAGTTCATTTTCGAATATTTTGATACGTTTTAGTTCCGGGTGTTAGTATGTAATGGCTTGTTTCTTCTTTTTCAGGTCACCCTGCCTTGGTGGGAGACAGTCAATGTGCTAAAAACAAATTAATGAAGTGTCATATTAAAAATGTGATAAAGTTTAAGACTGGCATTAGTGAGGGTATACAGCGGGCACGATGGAATATAGTGGTCAGTGGTAGTCACAGGGAAAGCTAAAGCCCCCCGAGATGCCAATAGTTTATTGTTCAATTATTGGCTAATTTTCGCTGGATTACATTGACTAGTGGCCATGAAAGCATAATAGTTCAAGAAATTTCATATTCATATTGAAAATCACATTTTTAATGATGATTTCTTTGATTTTGTAGCTGTATAGCCCTTGTGGCTTAGCACTTCTTTTTGATTATAATAATTTGATTTTGTAAACAAAATAGATCTGTTTGTGACTTGAAAAAGCCCACTGTGTGGGCGAAACGTCAATAAAGGATCACATTAAACTGCATAAGTGTTTATGTTTCCATCTGATTGTTAAGTCCCCCTCTCAGATTGAAATATTACTGAGTTAGCCCTCCAGATTGAAATCCTGGTTAGCTTTAGTAGGAGAGTGTTGTTAGTGTACAGTACTTGTGTATTAATTTCTCAGATAATTTGACAGTACTGGAAGATTTGAGACTGGTTTGTAATTACATATACACATCAGTTGAATCACCACCTATGTGGGTGGGTGTTAACTGGGCTCACTGAGAGCACCTAGAAAGGTTTGTTCCTTAAATAATTTGGTGAAGAGTATTACTATGGCTGAAGATGGTGTATGACCCTCATGGGTTTAGCATATGGTTATGATTATAATAATATAGCTGGATATAATACTTATGTAGCTTTTTTCTGTTGATTTTTTGGGTATTTCATTTACAATACTACCTGTATCTGTATTTTTAAGTGATTTTATTGTTGAGTTATTTCTGCAGGGATAGTAGGTCCAAATAAAGGCAATTAGGATAAATGTCTGTTGGACAGCTACTGACGATGGCTTAATTATTATTTTTATGATCTGATCTGAGCATCAAACTCACAGAGGTGATACAGCACTGCAGGGTAGGATGATGGCTTGAGCTTCAAGAATGTTGCTTATGATCAGATTTTTGTTCAGATTTTTAACCCTAGAGGGTTAGCCAACCAAGAAAGGCAGGGCATCATCAAGGGACTGTCTTGTTTTATTTCCACTTAAGTCCTCAATCTTGTCCCCCTGGATTCGACCACACCAGTCGACTAACACTCAGGTACCTACTTGCTTGCTAGGTGAAGAGGACAACAGGTGTAAGGAAACATGCCCAATGTTTCCACCCTTGCCAGGGATCGACCCATGGACATTCAGCGTGAAGTGAGAATTTTGCCTACCAGGCCATGGGGCACCGCAAGATTAATTCCAACTGTACCAAGAAGATAAGTTTGTATACAGTTTTAATAACTGAGAGGAAGGAGAGGGTTCATTTGCCTTAAAAAGGGCTATATAGTTCATGGAATTTAAAAGTTTTTCTACTCCAGAATCTGCATTCTGATTATTATTCATCTTCCATTCCCAGTTACAGTAGAATGTTAAATGACACCACTAGATTTATTTGAAGCATCATTATGGAGCTGAAAAGCAATTTTTTTTTTTGTTTTGTCTCTGTGGAACTTGACACCATGGTAGGAGTAACTGAGGTTGTTACCATGGTAGTGGTGGCTGAGGTTACCATGGTAGTGGTGGCTGAGGTTACCATGGTAGTGGTGACTGAGGTTGTTACCATGGTAGTGGTGGCTGAGGTTGTTACCATGGTAGTGGTGGCTGAGGTTGTGTTCACCATGGTAGTGGTGGCTGAGGTTGTGTTCACCATGGTAGCAGTGGCTGAGGTTGTTACCATGGTAGTGGTGGCTGAGGTTGTTACCATGGTAGTGGTGGCTGAGGTTGTGTTCACCATGGTAGTGGTGGCTGAGGTTGTGTTCACCATGGTAGCAGTGGCTGAGGTTGTTACCATGGTAGTGGTGGCTGAGGTTACCATGGTAGTGGTGGCTGAGGTTGTTACCATGGTAGTGGTGGCTGAGGTTGTTACCATGGTAGTGGTGGCTGAGGTTACCATGGTAGTGGTGGCTGAGGTTGTTACCATGGTAATGGTGGCTGAGGTTGTTACCATGGTAGTGGTGGCTGAGGTTGTTACCATGGTAGTGGTGGCTGATGTTGTGTTCACCATAGTAGTGGTGGCTGAGGTTGTGTTTACTATGGTGGCAGCAGATGAGGTTGTTCACCATGGTAATGGTGACTGAGGTTGTTCACCATGGTAATGGTGACTGAGGTTGTTCACCATGGTAATAGTGGCTGAGGTTGTTCACCATGGTAATGGTGACTGAGGTTGTTCACCATGGTAATGGTGACTGAGGTTGTTCACCATGGTAATGGTGACTGAGGTTGTTCACCATGGTAATGGTGACTGAGGTTGTTCACCATGGTAATGGTGACTGAGGTTGTTCACCATGGTAATGGTGACTGAGGTTGTTCACCATGGTAATGGTGGCTGAGGTTGTTCACCATGGTAATGGTGACTGAGGTTGTTCACCATGGTAATGGTGACTGAGGTTGTTCACCATGGTAACGGTGACTGAGGTTGTTCACCATGGTAATAGTGGCTGAGGTTGTTCACCATTAAGTTGAACTCTTCTCCAGGTTTATGGACTGATTACATCAATTCTTCACTGCTACACTGACTGACTGTATTTGACTGAAGAAGCCTACTGTGTAGGCGTAAAGTTTCATCAATAAAAGCTGCTGAACATGTGTATTAATCATCAAATTTCTTACTTAACACTGCTAGTTGTTGTGGCCTGGGAAGTGTTCTAGTTATATTTGCTGGATTATGTGACTTTATTTATGACTCTACACTTATTTTATGTTATTATTGGTATCCACTTACTAGTAGTATATTTTGTCCACTGTTACACCATGGTATATCTTAAATAATATTAAAAATTGAGAAAGTAGTGTGCTGTGCCCGTCGTATGATCACTCTTATGGTAGAAAACTGTTCAGCTTACTGTAGTGAAGGCAGGAACTAGCTTATTTGTGGTTGCAGGGGTTGAGTCACAGCTCCTGGCCCCCACCTCTTAGCAGTGTTGTATGGCCCTTGTGAGTTTAGCGCCTAGTTTTGATTATAATTCCCTGGACCCATTATGTACCCCCAAGGACCCCAATGGAAATAAGTCACTTTGACTTATTTTTGTTATCCCATTTTTTTAC